ACAAAAAACAACAACAGTGTGTGAGCCAATTCATTACAATGCTCGTTAAGGGCTCATTTTCTCAGCTCATGATGGTACCCAATCCGAGCCGGCGCTCATTTGATTGATGGAGCTTAGGGCCTGAAAAATGCAATTGACAAATCTTGGCAAAGTTGGTGCAGTGATTAAACCTCACTGTGCATTGTACAATAACCATAAAAACATGATTCATTGTTTGCTTCCATATTGCACCACAGACCATGGTTTATATGATTTTCATATAATTGCATTTTTGATATGAATTGTGTTCATAGCCCCATTCTAATGTGTCGTAGATTAAATTGTAATGTTAAATCAGAGTTGTTTTTAATGCTTTGGCAATGTTTGTGTTCGGTGAGCAGAGGTTTACTGGGAGGTGGGAATTTTTTACTTTTTTTTAAATGAAGATTTGTCTCGGTGCACGATTGTGAATACGATTGTGTGTGTGTGCACGTGTTTGCGTGCGCCTACGTTAGCGAGGCTTCCTATCTCTGTTGGGCAAGCGTCGTTAGTGATCATCCGTTAAAGTCAGCACAATCCACAAAGGGAATGGTGCCTAGGCTGCGGCAGCAGCGGCAATGGCCACTGGCATGTTACAACAAATTGCAGATCGACTCATATTGGAATACATTTAACTATAGGCGGCCAAGCTGAATACATATTACACATTAGCAGTCTCTACAGTGTGTGCATGTGTATACGTGCGTGCGTGTGTGTGCCAGCCTTCATAGGTGTTCGCTAAGAGCGCTTCCCCCAAAAGCATGCTAAGGCCACATGGGAGATCTTTGTCTTTGTGCTGGCCACAATTACCCCCTCGTGTGCTTTGACGGCCTTCGTAAATGCTCGCTAACAGTGTAGGCTACCGGGGGGATCTTTGTCTTTGTGTGTGCGGGAGCGGTGGTTTAGTGGTTAGTGCATTGCCCTGTGATACCGGAGACCTGAGTTCGATTCCCAGCCATGACTATCATCAGTGGCGCGTGATATGTGAACCGACACTGCGTCCACGCGCCTTCACCCACCAGTGTGGTGATTATGCGGTCAAACAATCCCCTTGACCAACACGGACGTGAGGAAGCCTTCATCCTGCAGAAGATAGACAAAGGAGCTGTGAGTTCGCGTGATTGTTTCCTACAACGCAGGCTTGAGAATATCAGAAAGTAGTTCACTTTCATTGCTTGGAAACTAAATATTTATCAGGTTTTTTTTAAATAATAACCGATAGTGTAGTACTAAAGCACCACCTCATCGCAGTCTGGGTTGAACATTCTGAGTAATGAATGACATGGATAAAAACATGTATTTTCAATAATTCCGTATTTTGTTTTTGCACGAACAGCACATTGTTTAGAGGGAGTGCTCTTGCCAATGTTACCTGGCAAACCAGCAGGTGTGTTTTTTTGTTTGTACATGCCTGCCTACTCATGAGACCCAGAAGGTGAAAGCTAACTAGCGTTTGTGTGTTTACACAAATCATGGTGGTTAACGTAAGTCAGAAAAGCTAATAAGCCGATGGACCAACACATATACGGGTTTTCTTATATGCAGAGATATAGAACGCTTGTCGATTTCTTTAGTTTTGTCACGTTAGCGGAGGCTGACTTTTCCAAAAGAAGTGAGGAGGTTATGTTCATAGCACTCCAGCGGAGTGATTCAAAATGGGCTCGTGTGATTTTTAAAGACCCTCTTAAAGCTTCGGGGCCCTAAAGATTCGTCCTGGGGGGTAAATAAACAGGCCTCACGGCAGTGCCGGAAAACAGAGCCACCTCAAGGGTGGATTACAGAGTAGCAATTCATTAGTTAAGGCTTAGCGTTAGCCCATTTGACATAAGTGTGTCCCCGCTGCAAGGAACCAAAAACTTGGTGGCTGTGTAGCTTTAGTTGTTGTTTTTTGTTGTTGCTGTGAGGCCGCAAGCATCGCTTGAGTTTCTGCCTCTTCAAGCGAGGTCATACTGAGCGTGCTGGCACGCATCTGTGCGCGCATGCGTAAAAGTTGCCCGGCGGTGGTTCTGGAGGTTAAATAGCCCGGTGGCCTTACAATGCTACCAATTTGTGCACCGTTACCCAAGCGTGCAAAAATACAATTGACGATGGGCATCTGAAGCTGACTTTTGTTGGGTGTTATGATGTGTGCCGAACTCCTTTCGCACCGTACGTCGCCGACCGTGCAGTTCACGTGGCCTAGAACATGTTGCAACCGCGCGACACACTGTGGCAACTGGCCATGCCTTCGGTCACAATGACTCGAACCACACGTGCGTAACGTCGACGCCGGCTGCCTTTCGCCGCTCAAGCGCCTTCGATATCGCCGCCGCGTCCTTTCGCCATGCCCAGGTACACTTTGAGGACACGTGAATTGTGAGTGTCTTCACCGGCAGCGTGGTATCGGAGAGGAGCCGTGCGCCTGGGGGTCAACTGAGATGACTGGCAGATGCAACCAAGGGGGAGAGGCCACTCCTTGCTGTGTCAACTTGCTGTGTTTTAGCCACACGGGCGCTTTGCCCATTGTCACCGCTGTCCGTGCCTCCCGTCTCCCATAGTCGCTGGAGGGTGGCTCCTGCACGCACGCACGCACACGTGCACTAACAAGACGTCCAAATAAACACACACACACGAAGATTGCTCGTGCTAAGGCAGAGACCATAGCGGGCAAGGGCTGTTCATAAGCACCTATTTAGACCAGCATTTAATATGATGCGGTGCTGTGGCCAGCACCATGCCCAGCAGCATAATGTCTCCCCAATTCTGACGTTTCACACACTACACACCAGGTACTCATTTAAGACATGCTGTATGGTGGGAGGCCCTGGACATGTTTCCAATATCATGCTCCACTGTTGTTCGGTATGGCAAGGAGTCAAACTTAGGTAGTAATCCAGATCGTAGTTCAGGGTGCTAATTACAAGCCACGAATTGAGCTACTGATGGGACCTAGAAGGTCGAGAACCGATCCAGAGTTTTCTTCCTTGAATAAACGCTGCCGGGTTATATTGGACTGGAAAGCCAATAGTCCGACGAACTATAGAAATCGATTTTTGGGGGATTTCAATGTGCAGACAGAGCAATGTGAGCGCGCTTCTGTTTGCGTGCATTCTGCCGCAGTGTCTCCGCACATCACGTACACACTGAACGCTGGTGGAGAGAGAGAGAGAGAAAAAATATAAAAACAGAACACAAATAGTGGCACCGGTAAATTTCTTTCGCATACACACCCGCGCTCGACTTTGTGTGCACAGGGTTAATGCTAACCCCCTACTTACAAGTCATCGCATTCACGTCAGGACACTGCGGGCAGCTTAGGCTTTGGGGGCGGGATGGTGGGATTTAGCGTCGGCAGCTTGCTCAGTATCACTTAAGAGGGGATTAAACCTGCGAGCAGCGCAGCCCTCTTTACGGAATCCCTGCGAAAATCTCGCCGCTCACACGCGTATGCACGCACACGCGCCTTCCTCTCCCTCCCCCTCCTCGTCCTCCCCCTCCTCGTCCTCCCCCTCCTCGTCCTCCCCCTCCTCGTCCTTCCCCTCCTCGTCCTCCACCTCCTCGTCCTCCCCCTCCTCGTCCTCCCCCTCCTCGTCCTCCCCCTCCTCGTCCTCCCCCTCCTCGTCCTCCCCCTCCTCTTCCTCCCCCTCCTCTTCCTCCCCTTCCTCTTCCTCCCCCTCCTCGTCCTTCCCCTCCTCGTCCTCCACCTCCTCTTCCTCTCCCTCCTCTCCCTCCCCCTCCTCGTCCTCCCCCTCCTCGTCCTCCCCCTCCTCGTCCTCCCCCTCCTCTTCCTCCCCCTCCTCTTCCTCCCCTTCCTCTTCCTCCCCGTCCTCTCCCTCCCCCTCCTCGTCCTCCCCCTCCTCTTCCTCCCCCTTCTCTTCCTCCCCCTCCTCGTCCTCCTCTTCCTCCCCCTCCTCGTCCTCCCCCTCCTCTCCCTCCCCCTCCTCGTCCTCCCCCTCCTCTTCCTCCCCCTCCTCGTCCTCTCCCTCCTCTTCCTCCCCCTCCTCTTCCTTCCTCTCCTCTTCCTCCCCCTCCTCGTCCTCCCCCTCCTCTTCCTCCCCCTCCTCGTCCTCCCCCTCCTCGTCCTCCCCCTCCTCGTCCTCACCCTCCTCGTCCTCCTCTTCCTCCCCCTCCTCTTCCTTCCTCTCCTCTTCCTCCCCCTCCTCGTCCTCCCCCCTCCTCTCCCTCCCCCTCCTCGTCCTCCCCCTCCTCTTCCTCCCCCTTCTCTTCCTCCCCCTCCTCGTCCTCCTCTTCCTCCCCCTCCTCGTCCTCCCCCTCCTCTCCCTCCCCCTCCTCGTCCTCCCCCTCCTCTTCCTCCCCCTCCTCGTCCTCTCCCTCCTCTTCCTCCCCCTCCTCTTCCTTCCTCTCCTCTTCCTCCCCCTCCTCGACCTCCCCTCCTCTTCCTCCCCCTCCTCTTCCTCCCCCTCCTCTTCCTCCCCCTCCTCTTCCTCCCCCTCCTCGTCCTCCCCCTCCTCGTGCTCCCCCTCCTCTTCCTCCCCCTCCTTTTCCTCCCCCTCCTCGTCCTCCCCCTCCTCGTCCTCCCCCTCCTCGTCCTCTCCCTCCTCTTCCTCCCCCTCCTCTTCCTCCCCCTCCTCGTCCTCCCCCTCCTCGTCCTCCCCCTCCTCTTCCTCCCCTTCCTCTTTCTCCCCCTCCTCGTCCTCCCCCTCCTCGTCCATCCCCTCCTCGTCCTCCCCCTCCTCGTCCTCACCTTCCTCGTCCTCCCCCTCCTCGTCCTCCCCCTCCTCGTCCTTCCTCTCCTCGTCCTCCTCGTCCTCACCTTCCTCGTCCTCCCTCTCCTCGTCCTCCCCCTCCTCGTCCTCCCCCTCCTCGTCCTTCCCCTTCCTCGTCCTCCCCCTCCTCGTCCTCCCCCTCCTCGTCCTCCCCTTCCCCGTCCTTCTCCGCCTCGTCCTCCCCATCCTCCACGCCCTTTCTCCTCGTCCTCCTGCTCTCCCTCCTCTTGGCCCTTCCTCCTCCTTCCTCCACCACCGCCACCCCCCAGAAGCGCTTCAAAGGGGTTTCCAGCGCAGGTTGTCACGGGGTGACGAGACCGAATCCCACCCGAATCGCGCAGCAGGCCCCGGTGCCCATCTGTCGACGCGAGAGTCCCCGCGCCTCCTCGCGGTTCATCTGTGACGCGTGCCGCCCGGAGGGGCCTTCTTGTGCAATGGGCCGCACATGAGAGCCGTGGAAATCGAGCGGGCCGATTATTATTTTTTTGGTAACGCGTCCAAATCCTGCGATAATCGTTCCGCGGGATGTTTGTCAGCCCAACTGGAAGACACCCCCCCCCCCCCCTTTCCCTCCCTCCTATTGTCATGCTGGTCATGGGGCGTTGCTTGATCGAACCGAGTTGTACCACGTTGATCAGCGTGGGTTGTTGAAGTCAGCTGTGGGGAGAGGGGGGGGGGGGTGGTAAGAGTCTTCTTCTTCTTCTTCCATACGGCTGCTGATGTCGATGCAGGAACGACGACGACAATTTCACATTCAGGTGGCCAAGCACGGCGACCGCGTCGAGAGCAGCGGAGTGGCGTCGCTGTGATGACTTCTTTCGTGTTTGTGCGTTGGGCCATCGTGACGTCGCGTGTTGTGCAGGTCTGTTCTGGATGACTAGAGTCGCACACGCATCGAGAGTTGGTTCCTTTTCAATTTGTGCATCAGGCATCCGCGTCTGCAACAGTTTGTGCAGTGGATGCGGTTTTAGGGTGGACCACGAGCTTCGTGGAAGATCAAGACCAGATATCATCTGCGTTGGGTGCTTCACAGAGCGTTTGTTTATTGAGTTCTTTTGAACGCCATTCAGCTCTCCATGCCTCGTCGGGCGTTGAGCTCGCATTGTGTAAGGTTAAGTGCATGGGTCCTAAAATGCTTTGCCTGACTTCAAGCGATGAAGAGGGAACTTATTGAGGTCCTGATGAATGTGATTGGGAGTGATTGGCACTGACTTCGCCATCCGAGTACTGACGCGAAGTGAACCTAATATTAGTAGGTTCATAGTGCAGCGTGCTAATCATTGTGCCACCGCTCCACCTCGCTAACACATTCAGGTCGCCTCGATAAAAAAAAAACGCGTTTATGATGACAATAATAACGATGAACAAAAATCAAGTTGGGTGGCATTGTGGCTGAAATTTGCAATTGGGAGATGGCTAGTTCATATCCAGGTTAGGGGGCCGACCGAGTCCATCATCCCTCCGGATCAATAAAACAAGCTACTGTTTTTGTCAGAAAATCCACCATAGTTGTCCTATTGTCGAACTTGCGCCCGTCGCAGTCTTATGGAATTTTCAGCTCAGACTCGGCGCCACCAGCTTCGATAAAGCACAATTTGAGCGTGTGGGAAAAAAAAAAACCCATGGCAAATGAGTGTTCAGGCAGGCAAGATAAAAATAATACCCCCCATCAATGGACATCAGAGTTCCCGTTCAGTGTCTAAACCAGAAAACCTTTCACTTAAAGGTAACTTGCAGCACCTTTAAGTCACCCACTGACCCCTAATTTAGAGGCAGCTATTTGCAATCGTAGATCGGAAAGGTTAGATTCGGCAGCGCCAGCATCGTGAAATTTGTAGGGTTCAGCGTGAAGTCAATTGCACAGGTTAAGACATTGACGTAGGTGACTTTTGAATTATAAATACGGTGTGTGCCCGTCACTGGAAAGCAGTTGAACATTAGAACCATATTTCTGCCCCCTTGTCGACCTATTACGCGGCTAAATCTTCCTATCGAGCTTTGCAGGTCATCCGTTTTCACAACAAATTTGAACGATTTGTATGACCGGGCCTGGACAGATGACAAGCAACGCAAAGCCAAACAAGGGGATGCGTTGGATTTTCACCTGTTACCACATTCTCACTCTCCTGAGTTCGCCATGAACGAAAAAGAGTCGCAATATTTACACTATCGTTGGCTCCTGCCGTGGTGTAAGGCTCAACTCACTGGACTTGCAAACCAGGGTCGATGGTTCGATTCAATCTCCCGGAGCGGCAAGTTGACACCACGGGGCACATTTCTTAAAAACACCCAGTAGTGTCATCTTAAACACACCCAGCAGTGTCACCTTAAACACACCCAGCAGTGTCACATTAAACACACCCAGCAGTGTCACCTTAAACACACCCAGCAGTGTCATCTTAAACACACCCAGCAGTGTCACCTTAAACACACCCAGCAGTGTCACATTAAACACACCCAGCGGTGTCATCTTAAACACACCCAGCAGTGTCATCTTAAACACACCCAGCAGTGTCACCTTAAACACACCCAGCAGTGTCACCTTAAACACACCCAGCAGTGTCATCTTAGACACACCCAGCAGTGTCACCTTAAACACACCCAGCAGTGTCACCTTAGACACACCCATCAGTGTCACCTTAAACAGACCCAGCAGTGTCACCTTAAACAGACCCAGCAGTGTCATCTTAAACACACCCAGCAGTGTCACCTTAAACACACCCAGCAGTGTCATCTTAGACACACCCAGCAGTGTCATCTTAAACACACCCAGCAGTGTCACCTTAAACACACCCAGCAGTGTCACCTTAAACACACCCAGCAGTGTCACCTTAAACACACCCAGCAGTGTCATCTTAAACACACCCAGCAGTGTCACCTTAAACACACCCAGCAGTGTCATCTTAGACACACCCAGCAGTGTCACCTTAAACACACCCAGCAGTGTCATCTTAAAAACACCCAGCAGTGTCACCTTAAACACACCCAGCAGTGTCACCTTAAACACACCCAGCAGTGTCACCTTAAACACACCCAGCATTGTCATCTTAAACACACCCAGCAGTGTCACCTTAAACACACCCAGCAGTGTCACCTTAAACAGACCCAGCAGTGTCACCTTAAACACACCCAGCAGTGTCACCTTAAACACACCCAGCAGTGTCATCTTAAACACACCCAGCAGTGTCACCTTAAACACACCCAGCAGTGTCACCTTAAACACACCCAGCAGTGTCACCTTAAACACACCCAGCAGTGTCACCTTAAACAGACCCAGCAGTGTCACCTTAAACACACCCAGCAGTGTCACCTTAAACACACCCAGCAGTGTCATCTTAAACACACCCAGCAGTGTCACCTTAAACACACCCAGCAGTGTCACCTTAAACACACCCAGCAGTGTCACCTTAAACACACCCAGCAGTGTCATCTTAGACACACTCAGCAGTGTCACCTTAAACACACCCAGCAGTGTCATCTTAAACACACCCAGCAGTGTCATCTTAGACACACTCAGCAGTGTCATCTTAAACACACCCAGCAGTGTCACCTTAAACACACCCAGCAGTGTCACCTTAAACACACCCAGCAGTGTCATCTTAGACACACTCAGCAGTGTCATCTTAAACACACCCAGCAGTGTCATCTTAAACACACCCAGCAGTGTCATCTTAGACACACTCAGCAGTGTCACCTTAAACACACCCAGCAGTGTCATCTTAAACACACCCAGCAGTGTCACCTTAAACACACCCAGCAGTGTCACCTTAAACACACCCAGCAGTGTCACCTTAAACACACCCAGCAGTGTCATCTTAGACACACTCAGCAGTGTCATCTTAAACACACCCACCAGTGTCACCTTAAACACACCCAGCAGTGTCATCTTAAACACACCCAGCAGTGTCACCTTAAACACACCCAGCAGTGTCACCTTAGACACACCCAGCAGTGTCACCTTAAACACACCCAGCAGTGTCACCTTAAACACACCCAGCAGTGTCATCTTAGACACACCCAGCGGTGTCATCTTAAACACACCCAGCAGTGTCATCTTAAACACACCCAGCAGTGTCACCTTAAACACACCCAGCAGTGTCATCTTAGACACACTCAGCAGTGTCATCTTAGACACACCCAGCAGTGTCATCTTAAACACACCCAGAAGTGTCACCTTAAACACACCCAGCAGTGTCACCTTAAACACACCCAGCAGTGTCATCTTAGACACACTCAGCAGTGTCATCTTAGACACACCCAGCAGTGTCACCTTAGACACACCCAGCAGTGTCATCTTAGACACACCCAGCAGTGTCATCTTAAACACACCCAGCAGTGTCACCTTAAACACACCCAGCAGTGTCACCTTAAACACACCCAGCAGTGTCATCTTAAACACACCCAGCAGTGTCATCTTAGACACACCCAGCAGTGTCTCCTTAAACACACCCAGCAGTGTCACCTTAAACACACCCAGCAGTGTCATCTTAAACACACCCAGCAGTGTCACCTTAAATACACCCAGCAGTGTCACCTTAAACACACCCAGCAGTGTCACCTTAAACACACCCAGCAGTGTCACCTTAAACACACCCAGCAGTGTCACCTTAAACACACCCAGCAGTGTCATCTTAAACACACCCAGCAGTGTCACCTTAAATACACCCAGCAGTGTCACCTTAAACACACCCAGCAGTGTCACCTTAAACACACCCAGCAGTGTCACCTTAAACACACCCAGCAGTGTCATCTTAAACACACCCAGCAGTGTCATCTTAAACACACCCAGCAGTGTCACCTTAAACACACCCAGCAGTGTCATCTTAAACACACCCAGCAGTGTCACCTTAAACACACCCAGCAGTGTCATCTTAAACACACCCAGCAGTGTTATCTTAGACACACCCAGCAGTGTCACCTTAACACACCCAGCAGTGTCACCTTAAACACACCCAGCAGTGTCATCTTAAACACACCCAGCAGTGTCACCTTAAACACACCCAGCAGTGTCACCTTAAACACACCCAGCAGTGTCATCTTAAACACCACAGTCAGTTGATCGACGTGTCGCGTGTGGTGGGGGTGAAATTTGGGTACACCCACCTCTTCCAAAATGTGCATCCAGCGTGGAAGAGTAGGCAAATGACCCCTCCCCCCCCCACGAAAGGAGCTCTACAGAGCTCCCTCTTTTCGCGGCGTCTCATCTGCCAGCAGTGTCACGCGCAAAGCCATTGCAGGGCTGTACCGTCCCCCCCCCCCCACCTTCACACGTCACTCATTGCCCTGTACGCTTTGGTGTCGTGCTGGGTCAGGGCCTGGGACGGCTCTTGACTCGACAATTTCAAAGGTCGCAATTTATAATTCTGCTCATGGGCTAACTCACCTTCTTGTCCATTCACGATCAATACATGTGAGCAGCACATCGTGGGAGGTGAAGAGTTGATTGTCCTGTGGCACCCGACAGAAAGCATTGCATATTCACCACCGGCTCAAGGCTGCCAACAGAGATGACCACTTTCCCAGCTCGTTTGAGCATGGGGCCCACTTATAATTCTTCACTCGTAGAAAGGAAGTGTGTTATCAGTGACTTAAAGCTTTCGTGACTGCAGGCATTCATATTCTTGGGTCTTTTGGTAAAGTCACGTGGATAGGTTCAAAGAAAACAACAATAAATAACAAACGATACCTGCGACGTTTCAATCGCAACACGAGCAATCGTCATGATGATGACGATTGCTCGTGTTGCGATCGACAAGTCGCGTTTTTTTTGTTATTTTCTATGAACGTTTCTACGTGACTTTACCGAAAGACCCAAGAATATGCGTTATCAGTGTCAAGGATATTTTTTTGTTCACTACGATTTAAAAAAATTCACCTCCCTTAGTGATGTTTTTGCCAGTTTCTTGAATATTTTTTTTATTGTGCAGCGTGAGGACATCAAAGTGCCTGGAGATACCCCACTTGTATGCAGGAAAACCGTCCAGATTTCCCGTAGCCCTTTTTTTGTTATCAGACACACACTCACTCGCAGACGATGTCATTGCCCTGCAAGTGGTGCAGCAGCATGACCAGACGCCCCAAAAAAATGCAAGACCGTTCTGAAACCAAAAAAAAAGTCTCAGCGATGCTCTCCTGGATAGAAAAAGGGGAAGTATTTTATTATTCGCTGTGTGTCCCACGAACATGATGGCTGCGCATCTGTGTAATCCCCGGCACGTCTGATGAGCACGGTCGGCTACGTATGGTGCCGAACCAAGTTCAGCGTACACACACACATACAATAATCCGCCCAATGCTGCTGGATTACAAGCGTTGGCCAATCCGTCTGGCACATTATAATGTGGGCCAATTAGACATTGAGGTATGGCCAATAATAAAGCTGTCCTTTCGTGGTAGCATTGCTTGCACGCCTAATGAGGTGGGCAAGCAAGGGCATTTAGTGAGTGGCTGTATCGTGGTGTTGGCAGCTTATTACGTTGGTTTGAGAATTTACATCTATATTACTGTGTATTAAATGGTAAAGGTCAGCCTGACACATTCCACTTAAACCACTGCCAGTAAAGCGGGTTCCTTGTTTTTTACGTGAATGTGGTCACCTCTCCCATCAGACATGACGTCATCATGAGCCACAGTCAATCCACTGTTGGATGAAGGCCTTCTCAAGCCACCGCCACCTCTCACCAGTCTGCAATGCGATAATCCACGCGATCATCGGCCGGGGTGATCTGTGGATGGTCTCTCAGTTGCGTGGTCCATTCCTCGGCTCCTGATCATTCTTGACTATTGTCCATCGCCCCTTTCGAAGCAACGTGTCCTGCCCAGGAGCACTTCCTTTTCTTAACAGTTTTAATTTATGTTGTTTTAAATATGTCATATTCATAGTGTTAACTGTCTGTTTAAGCTATCGGTATCATCTAATTGACATTCCTATTTCTGTCTCTTAGTGGAATTCCAAGCCATGCATCTGTCTATCATCGTCTAAGCAAAAAATGTGTTGGTCATGCTCACAGATACATGCACACGGAACACACCCACCATTCCCCACTAAGTGGTGTTTATGCCGCCACAGCACTTGTGCCAGGCTAGGTGCACTGTGAGGCTACGTGAATGGGGAAGGCTCGCTGGAAGAGGGTCACGGGACAGACCCAGGTGTTTTGGGTTAACTGAGATAGCTGGAAGATGCATCACCCGTGCTACTCACTGCTGCACACAATGGAGTACATGCACATACGTTAAATGTATTTGTATTCTGTATTTTTTTTTTACGTTCTGCTTTTCCTGTGTTTACTTTTTACCCAGATGTTTGTTGAAAAAGAGGATCTCTGACCTCACTGGGCTTCACGGATCGACTACAACTGCCATGCCACCACAGTCCTAACCGGTAAACACATGCACATTGGTCAGCAAAAGTGTTCACCATGTGCTAAGACAATATACCAGACTGCCAACACAGCAGGCTGCAGTTTGCTCGAGTATGTGGATGTCATTGGCGTTGCATTGTATTTGGAAGGCTTTCTGCGTTCGCATTTGCACACTACAATAGGGTACATTCCAAATACTCTTTGGTTCTTTCGGTAAGTCTACCTACGTGACTTACCGAAAGAACCAGAGTATGGATTCCTGCAGTCACAAAAGTTTCAAATCAAGATTACATTCCGAATGTTCACAATATGAAAATAATCGCGATATCAGTTTCCCGTAAGTTTGTATTTGTGTTATAGATGATGCATTGCTTTTGTTATTTTCTGTGTATTCAATACGAATGAAGCTTGCTTGAGAGTTCTTCAACTGATGTTGACTCAACTTTTAGCCTGCCCGTAAATCGTCCCCCCCCCTCCCTGTAAAAAATTGCGAGGCTAGAACTGTAAATGCTGCTGTTGGTTACACTAAAAACGGTTAAATCAATGACAAAAAAAATAAAATACGTCATATCATATGTCGGGTGGTGGAGGGTCTTAACAACACAAACTTGACCCCAGATCATTACGCGGCCGAACCAAAAAATGTATTACCGGTCATGATATTGTTCGCGAAACACATACGTGTCAAGATATAACTTGGTGTTTACGCTGGCAGCGTCTGTTGGAGACGCACTGTTCGGCAATAAGCCCAGGTTTATTTATCGCCTTATTTCGTTGTTTATATTTTTTTTTCCGTACGGGTCATTTGGCGTTCTCCACGCAGCTTTTCTAGATTTTTTTCCCCCTGGCAGTGAGAGGCTCCCGCTGCATGGCAAGATGCGGGGGGAAAACCGGGCTTGACGCTTTACAACCGGCCATTCGTCACGACGTAAATGCAGACTTCAACAACAACAACAAGAACAACAAAAAACTCCACATCGTTGGAAGTTCTTTGCCATCTCGCAACGCGTGTCACTTTTACGGCACGAAACAGTAAAGAAGATGACTAAAATGTCTCGTGTTCTACGGTGTATATATCTATTTTTTTATAATCGTGTGTCATTTACGCAATGTCCTAAATCTAGATTTTTATCGCAACGAAGTATGTGATCTTTAAACTCAAAAATTATCACTTTGGTGGTTACACACAAGACGCTTTTCAACTCGTTCTGTTTTTTTCCAACGCCTCCTCCCTTGATCCATGATGTGACAATCGTTGTCATCTTTTCCTACGACCACACCATGGTTTTAATGTGCGCTGATGTTAAATTACAACACCGGTTGTTGCATTTTTTGGTTTTGACGCGTGGATGATCCACAGAGCCCAAAAAGTCGTTATTTTAATTCTCCGCCACCAAACAATTGCAAATAGTAACTCTCGACCCAGTTTATGACAAGGCCAAAACAGGGAGTGGAAAATAAGAATTTGGTTTTACCCTTTGTTGAAATAAAACAGGCGTTAACATGTTCAAACACCAAACAGATGCATATTGCAAGGCATCACGTCTGCATTCACCACACCTACGTGCGGTTAAAAATGCAAACAAACATGACAGAATGTAACGGGCAAAAAACAGTTGTCCATCCGAATGCTTCAGCCACATGATTTCAGGTATCCCATGTACATGGAACCCATGAGCACACTGCAGTGTCAAGATGTAAACTCCCTCAGCTGGTATGCAGGAGGTCGTGGGTTCGATACCGACCCTGCGCCCACGGTATATTTGGAGTTTGCATCTCCTCCCAATGGTCGCGTGGCGACGGTTTTTTTCCCTCCGCATTTAGGAACATGCGTTCTGAGTATATTTGGCTGCAATTCATTTCTTAGGTGATAAGCCACTTCGTTGAGCTGTCATTTGTGGCCGGGTCGCTTATGAGACAGAGCTAAATAGCTCAGTGGGCTTTACCTGATAAAATATAATAGTAGCTGTTGTTTTGCATGCAGCACACTGCTCTACAACTGGATTACCCTCGTATAAGAGGATAACGATCTCTGGATGATGCCACTTTTTGGTGCTCAATAGCCACTCCGTTATACAATCTTTTGAGCCACTTCTCTGTGCAAGTAGCTGAGTGTTCATCCTCGGTGCAGTAAATCTTCTGTTGATGCATTATGTTTGGGGATGCCCAATATATGCATGGTAAGAAGCACCCTGGAACGTTTTGCTTGGAAGATAATTACCGTTACGATGTGGAACTCTTAAGTTTTAATATGCATGCACTCCCGAACCGTTTGCTGTTGTGATAATTTACGTTACGGTGTTTAACTCTATGGAGTAATCTGTTGCACTGGAACATGTCTGTTGTTACAATATAGCCAGTTCTCTCTTGAAAAAACAACAACAACATATTTAATATATTTAATAATCCTGCTCTATGACCATTTATTTTAAACAGTGTATACGTAATGGTCTTTGTGTTCAATGAACGCTGTGCAATACTCATGCCCACTGCTATTCTTGAGCCACCGGTGTAAATGTTGCGTTGTTATTGCAGGGGGCAAGTTTAATTCTTCCGAAGTAGTTCTCAGGTTAATCGACCGTAGAAGGTCGGCGACCGGATGCTACCCACGGTGTGATGGTTCGCACCACTGGACTCGCAAATCCAGAGGTCGCCAGTTGAATCAACGGCGAAGGTTCTTTATTCCGCCCGCCGCTGTCCACCCAGCAGTATGAATCAGCACGCCACATTTGGTTATATCAGTAGGTGGCGTGTGGTGGGGCAAAGTGTGGGCAATCCCGGCTCTACCAAGACACGCATTCAGCATGGAAGAGTAGGCCAACATCCCCCTCCAGAAGAGTGGGATCATCCAGAGCGCCCCTATAGTGGGGACCTTTTCTGCGAGCAGTGGTGTTCGCGAGACATTGCAGGCCTGCACCTTTACCATTCTTGTTATTTCGGGGTGATCATTTAAGTCAACCTTGGCCGCGATTTGAACTTGCATTCTTATAGTTGGGAGCCCTGGTATTGTAACAACAAAACACACATGACACCCTGCGCATATTTCAAACTCAAGACGGGAAAGAAAAAAACTCACATCAGTTTGATGCGACTGCACTTCATTTCTCTACATTTTCTGAGTAGTCCTTATACACACACACAACATGTGCATTCAATGCCCTTGCATTTCATATTCGTTGGCATATTTGACATTTTACCCTGTAAAATATGCCAAATAAACGTTTGAATTATATTGATCGTAGGAAAGTGTGCGGCGATATTTAATGCCCGATGAAACAAGCATTTAGAGACTTGGCTAAATAAACAAATCATATATAAAACAGAAAGGTTAGGCTGGCAATAGGGGGGGGCGGGGTGGCGGGGGGGGGGAGGTGGTGGTTAGGGGAAGCAGGAAAAAAAAATTGCGTGAAGAACATTACTGGAATAATGTACAACGTTAAAGTGTCGTTCTACGGCACATGGAGGCCATGCATCGGATAATCCTTTAGCGATTATTCTCTTTTTTGTTTTAAATAATGAAACAGAACGGCGACAGAAAGGAGGAATGGGACCACCGCATAAATTACGGTAACAAAAAAAAGACATTGTAACGCCAGCTTATCATGAGAAGCTGGTGCAAGCGCGCGAGACTTGTGCCCTTGCATCGCGGCCACTGCTTCATTTCGCCAATGCCCCCCCCCCTTTTTGGGGGGGGTTGGCGGGGGGAATGGGGGGGAGGGGCTTGCGGGGGGGTTAGGGTGGGATTGGGGGGTTAGGGTGGGATTGGGGGGTGGTTGGTGGGGTGGTTGGTGGGGTGGTTAGGGGGTGGGGGGACCTGACCCAGCTGTTGCCGTGCCTCTCAATCTCGAGGTGGCCTCGGAATGGTAGGCTACGATCGTGGGGGGGGAGAGAGAGAGGAGATAAATAAATAAATAACCTCTCGAATAAATAAAACTCACAGCACCCCCACCCACACGCCTCGCGTCCATCCTGCAAACTGATCATTCCCTCATTAACTCCTGCCACTTGTTCCCGAGCCGCCGACAGAACGCATCCGCACAAACGGACAGCTGATAAGCATTAGTCACGAGTGAGACGACCGCAAGGAAATGGCGCCAGCGCTGTGGAGTTTTTGTTGTTCCCCTCGGTGTTGTGCGTTTGGGTTCACAACAAGAGAGCGTGGCCCCCCTCCCTCCCCCCCCCTTCCTCCCTCCACCTCCCCACCGTCACCTCTCACCACAATCACCCTCCCCACCCCACAAACTCCCAGCTCCTTAATTCTCTCTCCGCCACTCTCCACCGCCAAATTCAACCTTCGCACCCTGCCCCTCCAACCCCTCCTCCCCAATCCGCACCCGCCAACCCCAATCAAGCGATGCAAATACGCCCGATGCACTGCTAAACGCAGATGTGTCTCTGGGTCCTCGGTGTATACACGGCCATTAAAAGACTGGTTGTTTAAATGGTGATTAATGTGTTTTTTTTAAAAAAAAAACGCTCTCCCTTGCAGCATGGCACACGGCACCGCAGCGTCTATGTTTCACTGTTTGTGTAATCCTGAAATTCCTATTTAAAAAAAAGTCTCAATCCAGGAACGCCTCTATGGGTCTCAAAGCTCTTTTTTCAGAAGGGTCCTGCAATTGCAGTTGTTTGGCCAATTTTCTTTAATTATTGCAAGTGGGAGAGAGCAATCGGTGAAAATGCAGGCCTACCTTGTAGAAAGAGTCGTTGTTGTATCGCCATCTCCTAGCCCACCTTGCTTTGTTTTTGAAGTGAATACAAGTAGCCTTTACTTATTTGTAACTACACTTTACACACATTTTTTTGGGTTAAAGCCACGTATCTCTGCGTGACATTTATGTATGTCTCATTATGTGTAAATGTTGATTATACTTACGATGATAATGTTGCTATATCAAAAATAAGATATTCTGTGTTGAATATGATGACGATGAGGATGAAGATAAATGCGTGAACTTTCACCCTTCAATCGTCCCATAAACTGGGCCACACTCAGTCCCTACCAAACAACAAACCCCGTGATAACCATTGCATGATTCAGAAACATTGTTTATACAGCATGTGTCATGATCATTATTATTCTTATCATGATCCATGATCTCTCCACTGCTGAATGAAGGACTACCCGGAGTCATAAATCACAGGCTCGTATTGCACCAATCCATCTCATTCCTGTTCACGAGGTGATGTCATCTCCACGGTGGTCATTCTCCCGACCTTTAGCTGCTACTCCGTCTCCAGTCTTGGACCGTTGGCCCCTCGTCCCTTATCACAATGTGCCCTGCCCAAGCCCACTTGCTTTTATTAATAGTCACTTTAGGTATCATTCAATTTGCAGCACCAGCAGAAACACTAGCAAATAAAGTTTAACAAAAGCTGAAAAGTGCGCAAAAAAATTCGTAGAGATATACGTACGCGTGGAATCACACTAAGGGACAGCAAGAGGAATCCTGGGATCAGAGATCAAATTCCTCGTCTCCCAAAACAGAAATGGGCAAGTTCAAACCCCAGTACGGGAACGGATCAGCACGTACGCTTCTGGGGTAAATGAAGTGAGAACTACTGCAGGAAATAGAAAGTTCCCACAGATGGACTGGTGTGCACAATAATAACGTGGAATTTACACCACGAGCTCACCACGGGCAGAGATGAGCGCTGCCGAACCCTTGTTCGAGAATGAACACTTTGAGTTTCGGCTACTTATTATTCAGGGCTTATGGGTGTTCAGAATTGGCTTTTTGTGGGTTGTGGCCGTGCGCGGGGACCCGTTGAGGCTCCACTCGTTAACGCCACCGACGTTTGTGATCACTCCCTGACCGCGCGATTGATTGCGTTGACGCTGCGGAATTGAGATGCCCCCCCCCCCACCACCACCACCCCACACGCGCGCGCACAATTGTACGCGCACACTCTGCGTGGCACATGCTAAAATATTAAAACATCTGCGGCGACGCGGGGGCTTCAAAAGGCAACGAATGGCCAAGAGCGTGAACTCAAACTCACCCTGTTTACCAGAGAGAGTGGAGGGGGGGGAAAGTAAAAAATATATAAAACAAGACTTTTTTCAAAGTTCATCGGAAGTGTACGGAGCGTGGTTTACATTTCAGTCCGTGAAAAGTGTCACTCTGTTCAAACAAGTGTGCGGCGGCCCTGAACCAGAGCTGCAGTTTCCACATTTTATGGCAGGGGCTCTGTCTGTCTATATGACAGCAGCCACTGTTAACTGCCCAGAGAGAGAGAGAGAGAGCGGCAGGCACTTGTTTTATTGACCCGCGAGCGATGATGGGGCACAGTTGACCCTTGAACTTGAACCCCACGGCCTTCTGATTTTGAGTTGGCTCTAACCGCGAGCCAATTTGGATGCCGCGTTCTTGTGACTGCCAGTCTTTTGAACGTGGCCTTGTCCGATCGTAGGGGAAGTTGATTCGGACCTTCGTCCTCGTGATTGCGAGGAGTGCATTTTTGGGATCCTGGCTCAATTTGACAAAAAGTGGCATCTTCCCCGTCGCGAGTCGATGCCGATTGTGAGTCGAGTTCAACTTTCAGCCTCGCTGCCACCGAGAGTCGATTTTGAACTCAAGCACTCGGGACCTACAGTAGCAGCCCCAACCCAGCTAGATATGATTCCTACCACTGCACTACTGCGGGCGTTGTATAAGTGGCTGACGGAGTGAAAATGGAACGATCAGTGAGAGGTGGCCCTACGAAACCATAATTAAACATTTAATGCCTTGCCTCAACGCATGGCCGCTTTAACTCATCGCACCACACGAGGCAATGAAAAACACACGGCAGCATCTTTTACGCTTTTAGAAATATCCTAATATGATGGGGGGGGTTGATGAAAAAACCGAATCGAGAACAAAATTTCTCAGGAGCCCAACTGGTGCAATATAATTAATTCCCGAGATTCGTCTTTATATTCCTAATCGAGTAAATACTGCATATTTATGGTTTTGTGGGGGTTACCGGCTTGATTTGTACTTGCTGTTATTATTCTCTCCCATCGCCACCGTTTGGCCATCTCTCATATTTTATGAGAGATTTTGACAAGAAGTGTTTAGCCACGTAAATTAACGCCCTTTTTTCGTGAAACCTTTTTTTTTGTCGGAACATTTTTCTTAAATTGTCATTATTCACGTTTTCCGACGCATGGTACAGTTCCAACAATAAACACCACGGCTCGAAGCTACAAGTCGTATGCAACTTTAATTACACATTTCTGTGAAATTATGAACGTGTAATACATTGTCTGTGGCTCTATTAACGTGTCAACCCGTAACGCTAACTCTTGTTTTTTTTTTTGTATTAAGCTTAACAAGTCTGCATTATTTTCCCACAAACCCCTATATTTATATCCGATTGTTTTTATCATCACTTCATCATCGCCATTTCTCGCGGTTCTGCGATGCGGCGATCTACCCAACACCCTGTATACTGGCTGATTCAGGCATCTGGACGTCTGTCAAAAAGAGCTTCATAGATCATCGGATTCCTGCAGTCTGAATAGAGAATCTGATTATGAGTTCATCGCTCCATCTTCGAGGTTAAAAACAAAACAAAAAATCCTCTACACTTTAAATTAAACTCAACCCGATTTTAACTCTGGCCTTTTGTTGTTGTTGTCAATTAAATATTTGAAATGTTTGTTTATTCCGAATTACTATTTGAATTGCTGCACGGAACAAGTTCGTATGTTTCGCCGATTTTAGACCACAATAAAAATAAAAAAATCTTTTCAGTTTTCTGCCTTTGTCATTCCAAAGTGGCATTAGTCCAAGAACACACCAATGTAATCTTATTCTTTTGACACACACACATATATAAATAACCAGGATGAAGCATGCGTTAAAAAACCCTCATTTTTTCTTTTGTCTTCGAGAATGGAAATTAACTGAATATATGTACTTGAATTTAAAAAACATCTAAAATATGAATTTTTAAGCACCGTATGTCATGCTAAAGCTGCATCATTTGGTCGGTAATTCCAGGCCGTATGTAACGCGCGTAGCAGCATCACGTCCCACTTTGTGTATTGTTCCAACACCTGTCGGGGTGCAGGCAGAGTCGCGACACCCATTCCCTTTATTCATTCGGTCCCTGAGAACGTGCATCATCCCCCATGTACATCTCACCGATTGGACCAACATTACATGCAGTTAGGCTCCTGATATATATAGCCTAGCATTCAGAATTGGCCTACTTGCATGGAGGTTCCTTTTAAATTCCAACAGCCGCCTGTAGCTATAGTCTCCGTATTGTATGCATGTATGTA